CCCCGGGGCCTCTGATATGCTTCACTGCCTTAACCTGGAGTGGGACGTTCTGATCATTGCACTTGCTCTGGAGTTAAAAGCCACAGGCAGGGGGGCTTCTTTTTTGGCCTCCCTATTTAGATGTTTGCCTTGGAAGTTAGCCTGCTTTTTCCAAATGGTGTCTAGAATAGAGTTGGTATCTTATTTGGTGAACACTCTGTCATCTTCTTGTCAGTGGATCTCAGCGGGAGCCACACATTTATAATTATCTTTCGGGGGGCGGGGGGGCTAAGGGGGCTTTTAAATCAATGAGGTGCTCAGGGCCCCATTCCAGATTGATTCCATCAGGCTCTGGAGCTTGGGGGCTGGGCACTGGCATCTTGCAGGACTTCCAGAGTGCTTCTTGCATACAGCTCAGGTGAGAACTCAAGGGATCAAGTATGCGATGCACGGTCAGATCCAGAGGACCCGCGTATTGCCATTTGCATGATTATATCACTTAAGTTATAAGGTCTCACTTCTTAGTGATACAGAAACTGCTCGCGTTTTATGCATAAAAGCTGAAGCTATTAGAACCAAATAGAAGGCAGAGGTTCAGATGGAGAGAAGGCATTTGGAAGCTATTTGTGGCATTGAGCTGCATCCAGTTTGCATGGGATTCTCAGGAGAAGGTTTTCATCTGAGGGTGGGGTGGGGAGGAGGGTGTGTTTTAAAAAATTACTGACATAGTCAGAGTGACAGGAACCTGAGGTAGGCATTGCCTCTGCCTTCTTTATAATCCCTCCTCCAACTTGCCTTTTAAAACACAATCCTGAAGGCAGCAGTAAGGAAAGATGGAGTCAAATGGTTATGATCCAATAGCTCATAGAATTAATTCCCTGCTCCGAGTAATAAAAAGACCCGGACCGATGGACTCCATGCGATGTTTGTGCTGAGGATTCTGCTCACAGAACCCCATTTCATGCTGTGCTAGGTAGGGGTTAACTAGAGCAATACAACCAGAGACACTCATATATGTGGAAGGGAGAACTTTATATCAAAGAGCAATTGTACATTAAGAAAACATCCCAGACCAGTCCAGATCCAGCCCATAAGTCTGATATTAGCCCGTAAGTCCAATACTTGGTCATAAATTCCTTTTCAGACCCACCCAGGACATGCAATGATGCAAAATGCAGGAAGATCACAAGGCCAGTGGATGTAAAGTCTTGAGCATCCAGTGGCAGTGGAAGCATCTCCAGGGCTCTCACAGGTCTCAGCGTGGCTCCGTGTGGCTTGTCAACAGGAAGGTGAAGCAGAGAGAAAGAGGGTCTCGCAGGGCTCAGCAAGTCTCTCTGTAACTTGTCAGTAGGAAAAGGCAGAGGAAGTTCCCAGAATCCTCATGAGAATGCCCTGCCCACAAGGAGACATCATCAGGCTGTAACCTGATTGACAGTCTAGAATCTACTCCTACACGTATTTATCAAGTTGACATGAAATTATGTAACTACCACACACAAAGTGAGGAGGTTGAAGTACTCAGAGGTTGAGTGCCCTGCCTGAGGGCATACTGCTGGATGGAGTAGGCATTGTAGCACTCAGCTTGGGCTGTGCAGAGAAATAACTTAGTGGGGGACCTTCCAGAAATTGTTGAGTTTCACTACCCCTCTGGGATTTCTGTGCACCCAATGCTTAGAGCCATTGCTAATGGCCCCTGGGTGATAGTTGCCTGACTCAAGGTGACCCCGATGGACAAAATGAAATGCAGTGCAGTGCTGTACCATGGCCATGATCAGATGCAGATCATTGTGATCTAAAAGGGTTTTTATTGGCATATTGTCTTAGGCTGGGTTCTCTAGGAAAGCCCCCCCACCCTGCCCATAGGCAGTATGGGGGGGTGGTGTGTGTGTGTGTGTATGTTTGTGTATGTGTGTATGTAGATTTATCTCAAGAGTGGCTGTAGAAGCAGGCAAGTCCGAGTCCATAGGTTAGATGTTGAGTTAGAAACTTATCGTATATACTCGTGTATAAGTCGTTTTCCAGCATATTTTTAATGCAGTTTTGGTGATAAAATTAGGTGCTTGGGCTACTATTCAGGTCAGCTTATACTCGAGTATATGCAGTCTCTTGACTTGAGAAGATGCAGTGTCTGAGGAACCCAAGATCGACAGGAAGATGACAGGCTGGTGGCTGCAGAGGCAAATGAATCCACAGTCAGCAAGTCAGATGGCAACTTCCAGCACTGGCAGACAGCATGACAGGTCATTAGTTTAAGTCTAAGAACCAGAGCTTGATGAGGCAAATGCAGTGTCCACATACAGCCAAAAGCAAACAGGATTTTCCACAGCATCCATTGAAATTGGAAGCAGGCCATACTCCCAAGGAAAATTTTAAAAAAACTGACTGCATCAGGGTATGATCTGAGTGGGGGTATTGTATCTTACCTTAATCTTCTTATAAACTGATTGAATACTCATATCAGATCCCATTACATTGGTTAGATCCTATCACATCTTAATTTCTGAGAATCCTGTTCCAGCCAAGTTACCACAAAACCCAAGTATCATACTCGTTTTCAGAAATAGATTGCCAGACCTTTGTTCCTAGTCTGTCTTAGTTTGGAAGCTCCATTGAAACTTGTTTATCATAATACTACAGTACCACCATCAAAACTCACTTCCTGTGAGTCAATTCCACTTTGTAGCAACCATATCTAGGTTTCCAATGCTGGAAATCTCCATGGGATCAGGTTGCCTCATCTGTCTCTGTGGAGTAGCTGGTCAGGTTGAAGCACCAACCTTGAGCTTAGCAATCCAATACTTACCTGATCGTACCACCAAGACTCCTGTTTAGCATCATAGCAACATGCAGACCTTCCCTGCGGGGTGGCTGTGCCTCAGGGATCTTGGCTAGGACTTAAGCTGGGCTCTCTGACCTGAGTAGGAGAACTGTTGCTTGGAACTGCCCGTGCGCACACCAGCAGAGCCCGCATTCCTCAGAGATGATCCTTGATTTGTGTGTCTGGGACCCATGAGGAGGAATGTGAGTCAGCAGCTCGTTGCTTGAGTCTAGTGTGAACTCTCATCTGTACACAGGCCCTGGTGGTTGGGAAGTGAACCTGTGGAAGATTTTAGTGCCCTGGACACAGTTAACCAGCAGGCTGTTATCACACAGCGAGGAAGTTAAACAAGATCATGGCGAAGGAAGTCAGCAGGCATGCTTTCCTGGCACAAGGACAAAAGTGAGGGTCCTGCTGGCACAGTGGCTAAGCACTTCACTAACTGATTGATCAATCATTCAGGGGTTTGAACCCATCAACTGTTCTACGGGAGAAAGGCATGGCAATTGGGGCTGAGTGGGCAGCTTTCCAATGACAGTGGGCTTGTTTTGGGGTTGTTTTGCTTGCTTTATGGTAAAAGTGCTTGGTGCTTAGATTTCTGTCTGGTGGCTGGCTTGAGTAGGGACTGTCGAGATAAATGCAACAGGTTGATGGAGGTGAGTTGAAAAGAACCGTACTCCCTTTGTGGGTTGGCTTGGTTTTACAGGTGCCCATGTGATACTGACTTGATTTGTTGATGCTTTTCTCCATCAATTAAAATCAAGGTTTCTAGGTTGTGAGCCGCTTTACAGTTGTGACTGGTTAAGAACCAGCTCTGCAGCAGGCTCTGTGAATGTAGGTCACGAATGCTGAGAACCCCGGCATTCTTCCTAACCTTTGGGGCCCCAGCACACAGATGAGGATCTAGGCAGACAGCACCAGCGGCTGCTGCAGAGGGAGTTTGATAAGCAAATAGTTAAAACTTCTCCAAAACAGAGCTTCACCTCTCGGGCAGCACAGTTTTTGAAAAATTCCAAGTGTTTTCAAAGCTGAAGAAAGTGCTCTGTTCTGGAAGTGGTTGCTTATCTTTCCAAAGAGAAGTGTGTTTTGAGGTTGAAGTCATTTTTGCTGTTGAGAAATCATGCACAGGGCAGTTGGGTAATTTGGAGGCATTTCTGGTTCATTTCCTTGCGGTGCTGTTGCACCCTGGAGTCTAACATACACACGTGGAAAAGGGAAACGCGGGCACACGGCCCAAGGGGATGGCGGAGTCTTCATCTGAGCAATCAGCAGGGCGGCATCGAGGCACTTGGGTTTGCTCTTGCCTCAGTGTTTCTTCGCCAAGTTATTTCTTGGTTCTTAAGTAAATGGAAACGAGCGACCTATTGATGCAGTACTCTTTGCCTTCTGACTTTGGGTCCTCCGCTTTGTGATCTTGTCTTGAAATCTTCAGCCTCAGTGGCCAGTGGTGGTATAGTGGTTACGCACTGGGCTTGCAATCCTTAAGGTTGGCAGTTTGAAACCGCCAGCAGATCTGCCAGAGAGAGATTGATTGGGCTTTCTACTCCTGTAAGCAGTTACAGCTCCACAAAACCACAGGCAGTTGCTGTGAGTCAGCATTGAGTTTTTTTAGGTTAAAGTGGCCAGTGACCCAGGCTTTAGGCTCAGGCTTCCTGGGGTCATATCCCATCTATTAATTCTTACCCATGTGATCCCAAAC